TCATGAATGACTTTGACAGCGCCCAGCAAAACGCCACAACACCCTGAGAGTGCACGCTGATTCAGACCCAAGCAAGGCAGGAAGAAGATAAATCTATGATAGTTCAAGTCAATACATGAGGTAGAAGAGCACCCACGCATGTACTACACGTGTAAACGTACTACGAGTCCAAGACGTAACTCAAAAGTGCTGAGAAGTATTTAGCCTCAATAAATGAACACCAATCACATAATGCCCCCTCTGTATCACAATGACAAAGAACCAACTCACCGTGTCTACTATATAGCCCTAGGCATGGCATCTCAAAATGAAACTTACTGGTTCTTACAGGGAATGAGTGAACATAATCCCTATGTAACCCAGATATGTAATAGTATGTTCCCATACTCCCTGCTAAGAACCAGTAAGAAACTGAAAAGCACATCGAAGGGCCCGCTTCTGCACGATTTCCCGGATCTGCGGCTCAAAGCCCATGTCGAGCATCCGGTCTGCCTGCAACAGAGCCACTTACAAATAGGACAAATAGGGATGATGGAAAAGAAAACGGAAACTACCATTTAGGGTTTAGGGAATGTGGGAATATACTATATACTGTAGGGACTAGGTAAGGGTTATATTCCCTCACTCCCTACTAGCAACCAACAAGATAAGAATGCGAATGGCCGATCTCATATTCACGAGCACCCAGGCTCATGATGTAGCGTAATCTTGACAACTGATGAGCTATCTCTGTAGCTGCAGAAATGGCATGAATACGAACCATCACCGTCTGAATTTTAGAACTGACTCACCAATGACCCAGATTTCCAAGATCTCCAGTCAGACATTCTGTACTGCCCATGTCCACTGAAACTCACATCCTGCCAAGCCCAAAGCCCGCCTCGTCCAGCACCAGGAAGCCCACGTTACACCTGCCGTTGCACATCAGACTTGGTTAGAATGGGCGTGACTGCGGGGGGTAGAGGTGGGGTCAATAATAAAGTCCTGGATAGCCAAAGCCTTGGCCTAGCCTACAACATGAAATCTCAAAGGCGTGTTGGCTCCGGGTTCAAACTATGCACAATCCATCAACCTGCTTCAACTGAGGGGATCTTTCCAACAAGTCCTTGAAACCAGTCTAACATCTAAATGATACGAGTAGCCGAGCCTTTGAGTCCGAGCGTTCAAGGTTCAATGAGGCCGTTCTCATGGCTCTAGGGGCTTAGTCTTGTCAGCATGCAACAACTAGATGGCGCATGCCTCCACCTGCCAGGTAGTCATGGCTTCCAGAAGGCATACCCCACAGCAGGTTGCTGCTGGCACACAGGACTGCCATACTTAACAGACTTGATGCCTGAAACCAGGTTGGACAGGATGGAGAGGATGTGTTGCAATAGACACAAAAAGACGAACGGTCAATGGTGTTCAGCCTTCCACTTTACCACCCCAGAACGCAAGTGTCCAGGACGGCCCACATGGTGATAACGCCGCGGTCGATGAAATCCGTAAGCCGTCCTCAGCAAAAAATAAACCAGACAATCACCTGCCAAACTGGAAACCTGCTACACATTGATGTTTCTGCTCATGGTTTACTGCTGTATATGGACTGCTTCTTGTTGCGTTGCGCTTGCCGCATAATACCCTCTGCTTCCAACACGGCCAGCTACCGCTATCGTGGCATCATCGCGCCCTACCGCTATCGTGGCATCATCGCGAACACAGCGTTCACAGACAAACAGCATCTTCCACAAAAGTCTCTGCAATTAGAAAAGTCAAATGTGGGTCCTGCACGTTAGGTTGATGCACGCAGCTGACACAAGCACGGAACATGATTTGGGATATAGCTCTGTGCTAGTGCGCGTCTGGGCCTCAAGAACTAGAACCTACCTGACAGCTATGGTTTCGTGGAAGCCTCAACGATGGTCTGGCATACCTTCAAGCGCATCAAACCAAGAACTGGTCCAGATTCGTATGACTCATGGTAACACCAAGAACGCCAGGAATTCAGAGGGTGAGTCACATGAATTGCCCGGCACCCCCAATGACGGAACTGTGGTCAAGTGTCCTTCAAACCTAATAGCTGATATCGTCTGATAAACTCCACCCCTTGAACCTCTGTGTCTTATGTCAATATTCCCAAAGCAACGCATGCGTTGAGGGGGCCCTGAATTCAGGGGGGTCTCTGCATTTCAAGGTGGTACAAAGGGTTTAGGGCAAACAGGACATGGTGCTCTGCTTCCCCGTTGTCTAGAGTTTAACACTCATTTACATTTTTCTTTCGGGCACCCGTAAACACTGCACTGGTAACCATCTAAGCTTGAACCCCTCCACCTCTATGTACTGAATACTCCCAATGAGTTACCATTATGCAATAGGTGATATACATGTATATATAGAGAGAGAGAGAGAGAGAGAGAGAGAGCGAGAGAGAGCGAGAGAGAGCGAGAGAGAGAGCGCTAGCATTCTTACTATTACTTTTAATGTTCCTATCACTAACTATTAGTGTTCGGTTTACTAATACTATTTGCTGATTCTAGCAGTCTTACTCTCACTCTTACGGTGCTATTATGAGTATCACCATTGCTAATGTTATTACGTATTACGATGTTAGGATTTACTACCACTTTGACTGTAACTGTTACTATCACTGTCAATGATCTTTCTCGGTGAGAACCGGTTTCACAGTTTCAAAACTGACTACTAACAGGGTTGCCCGTGAGGCCATGGCCAGGGGTGGCGGTCACAATATCGACACCTGCTGTGGGGCTTCAGAAGCTCTTCCTAAGAAGTACCAGCTGATTCTAGTGAGGACAGGAGCCATGGGAACCCTAACCCTAAATCCTAAAACCCTTAACCTGTTTTTTTCCAAGATTTTGTTGGTTTCTTGAAATCTGAGGCTGCTGTTTGGACCGGCTTCAAGGCTTTGACGCTTCCCGGCCTCCACACTCTTCTTTTATCTTGCTCGTGTGTTCGTATGATTTCCTACGTAGAAAGGGATTGCTTCCAGATTACAGTAAGAGAAAAAGCCAAACTAAAACCATCAACAATAAGAGCAACAGTAACCGTGTCCTCAGGCAGAGACAATATCTTTAGTATCCGATCTTTAGTAATAGTATCCGGAATGATGAGCTGCGTGACGTCAGAACATCAGATGGCTGACGGATTGTCGCAAAAAAAATCATGCCGACACACGCATGCCTACCCCTGTTGAAGAAACAGGTGCCTTGGTATGCAGACCATGCTTCCAGCACATGACCGTGGAACATGAGTCAACTCGATACAGAGAAACCTCCGAAATCAGGCAACCCAACCGGGCTGGGCCAACTCCTAAATACTGAAACTGCCCAACCCTCATGTATATACACCATACTGAACCCACATTAGAACTTGTTGGGACCACACCTCTCGCCAGGTCTAAGAGCTGGGGTTTGGCCTGAGACCAAGCATGGTACGACAGGGCGTAGTGTGTAGGGTGAAGGGCGAAAATAGTAGTAATAATAAGAGCAATAAAAACAAGAGTAATAATGATAATAATAGTAGTAAGAATATTAATAGTAATAATAATAAGAAAAAGAGTAATTACATGAGCTTGAGGGCATTGCATTTGGCTCCAGGCTTGCCTGAAGCACCCCTAAGTGTGGCCGCCAGCTTCTGGTGATTGCAATTGATGGTAAGGATGCTGGTAGAAGTCCTGATGCTAATGGCTCTGCTCTAACAGGTAGGATTGTGGCTTGGAGCGTGGTGTTGATGGAATTCCCTCCTGAAAACCTGATGACTCCCTGGGCTCTTAAATGAACTAAAAGCTTTCAGAAGACTTCTTCGAGCTTACATTCCAAGACAAGTCTCCACTCGACACTGGGCTCCTTGCGTCAACTCCGCCGTAAACCTCGCCAGCTCGAACCTGGCAATGGGGACTTGTTGCAAGATTAACCAGGGGTCGTGCAAAGGGTCTGTAGACTGTACGGTGCTGTTGGAGTTGCAGGGGTACGTATAATGCAGCACTATTTCAAGTTTTGTTACGTTTGCTGTTCCAAGCTTCACAGTGGACCAACACAGGCGCTTGTTGTCTGGATTGTGCAGGAGCCTCAGGGTTGAGGCATGGGTTCGGGCCTGACGTGATCCAAAAGGACGGGAGGGACAAAGTCTCCCTCGGGCTCTTGCTTTGAAAGGGAGAGGCGAGGCGACTAAGATTCCAGACTTAGGATCTAAGCGCTCGCAATCCTACTCGCTGAGGTTTCCTGGCTGTCTACCCTCCTTGAACCTGGACTCTAAGAGAATGATCGGGCGCTGCTTAGCAAGAAGCTTTCGGCAAAGAGCACGGGACTTCTGTCATAAGACCGACGCTGGATGACACTGAAATCCTGAAACCCTATGGGTGCTCTTCCGAAATGAATGCATCAATTCTCAGGGTCATAACGCGAAAAAACGAATTCTGGAGCGCACGTGGGGCTATGTGCTTCAAAATTGGAGGCCCCCCGATGAGGCTGTCCTGCGGGCCCCTGNNCTGTGCTTCGGGGAGGCGGGCCCGAGGGCCGCGGCGACTCCTCTTTCCTTACAGCGGGCATTCTTCCACGCCCTCGTCCAGCTTGACGTCCCGCAGCTCCAGCAGCAGGCCACACTGCTGGTTCACCTCTCATGTCTGAACCTTTGGAGGCTGCTAAAGATGGTAAAACCATTGTGACAAGCCCAAGCCTAGGAGCCCCAGACACAGATTAATAAGCATTGGCCGGCAGCGCTGGAGATTTGAAGGACAACTTCTTGGCCTGCACGTGCATTGATATTGGGCTTGACCCGTGCTTGCGCGGTATGGGCCCATGAATTCTGACCTGTCCCTGAAGCTCCTGCTAGGCAGCGACATGCGCCTTGGGGATATTTCAAGGCACAAGGCTTGGCGAGGAGATCGTGATTCCAGCCTGCTACCTGAACCTAGCTTCCCGTGTACCTTAAGCCGTGTTCCCTCAAGCCAGTGTACATCCTCGGATTTCAGTTCTCAGGGGTAAGCCCAGAAACCCAGAAAGCTGACACCTCGAGGTGGATCTGCGAGCAGAGCTCGCGCGTGGGGGCCAATACCACAGCCTCCGCAGTTGAGGTCTCCCAAGTAAGAGTCATGCTACAGGGGTTGGAGAGTTGCACCTTGGCTCCCCAGCCTGCAAGTCCGAAAATATGTACAGATAGGCCTGAAGCACCACAAGACCTTCCAGCCAATCTAAAAGAAGCTTGAAAACAAGCCTCAATCCCAAAGGCCAAAGGCCAACAGCATATTCACGAATGCTCTCAACTTACTCAACTCTAGACATATCTCGTTGAATCCTACTTGTAGCCTCAACCTCCAAGTCCCCAAAGCCTACTTCTGGCCCACGACCTGCAACCCTAAAACTCTCGGACCCCCAAACCCAAAAAGCAGTCTCTTGAAAGTGTGTACATTCCCTTTCAGAGGGCCCGCCTTTGGCGCGGAAGGCTCACCCGGGCTGGTACCCACAGTGCCTGCCGCCTCG